GCTTCACACTCGGCTGCAAACCGCCCCAGTGAATGCTGGAGGTCACAATCCGAGGAGGCTAACAGGACCACATCATCTGCAAATAGCAGAGAAGCGATCCCGAGACCCCCGAGACTGACGTTCTCCGCCCCCAGGCTGCGCCTAGATATCCTGTCCATGAAAATCACAAACAGGACCGGTGACAAAGGGCAGCCCTGGCGGAGGCCAACACCCACTGGGAACGTGTCTGACTTATTGCCGAGAATGCGGACACAGCTCCTACTGCAGCCGTACAGAGACCGGATCGCCCGTTGTAACGGGTCCGGCACCCCATACTCCCGCAGCACCCCCCACAGGACCCCCCGAGGGACCCGGTCGAAAGCCTTCTCCAAGTCCACAAAGCACATGTAGACTGGTTGGGCAAACTCCCAGAACCCCTCCAGTAGTCTTGCGAAGGTAAAGAGCTGGTCCACTGTTCCACGGCCGGGACGGAATCCGCACTGCTCCTCTTGAATCTGAGGTTCGACAAGCGGTCGGAGCCTCCTTTCCAGCACCCTGGCATAAGCCTTCCCCGGGAGGCTGAGTAGTGTGATACCCCGGTAATTCGAGCACACTCTCCGGTCCCCCTTTTTGAAGATGGGAACCACCACCCCGGTCTGCCATTCCATGGGCACTGATCCCGACCCCCATGCGACATTGAAGAGGCGTGTCAGCCAGGACAGCCCAACCATGTCCAGCGCCTTCAGCATCTCAGGGCGGATCTCATCCACCCCCGGCGCCTTGCCACCAAGGAGCTTTTTGACTACCTCGGCGACCTCTGCCAGGGATATGAGTGAGCCTCCCCCTAGGTCCTCAGGCGCTGCCTCCTCTGCAGAGGACATGTTGGTCGGGTTTAGGAGTTCCTCAAAGTGCTCTTTCCACCGCCCGACGATGTCCTCCGTCCGGGTTAGCAGTTCCCCCCCCCTGCTGAGAACAGCCTGGGGTAAGCCCTGCTTTCCCTTCCTGAGCCGTCGGATGGTTTGCCAGAACCTCCTTGAGGCCAACCGAAAGTCCTTCTCCATGGCCTCCCCGAACTCCTCCCATGCCCGAGTTTTAGCATTCGCGACCACCGCCGCTGCAGCCCTTCTGGCCTGCCGGTACCTGTCAGCTGCTTCAGGAGACCCCTGGGCCAACCAGGCCTTGAAGGTCTCCTTCTTCAGCTTGACGGCTTCCCTCACCTCCGGTGTCCACCATCGGGTTCTCGGGTTGCCACCACGACAGGCACCGATGACCTTCCGGCCACAGCTCCTAGCGGCCGCGTCCACAATAGAGGCTTTGAACATGGTCCACTCGGATTCCGTGTCCCCAACCTCCCTCGGGATGTGTGAGAAGTTCTTCCGGAGGTGGGAGTTAAAGACCTCCCGGACAGGGTCCTCCGCCAGACGTTCCCAGTTCACCCTCAATACACGTTTGGGTTTGCCGGGTCTTTCCAACTGGTTCCCCTGCCATCTGATCCAACTCACCACCAGGTGGTGATCAGTTGACAGCTCTGCTCCTCTCTTCACCCGAGTGTCCAAGACATACGGCCGCAGATCAAATGATACGATTACAAAGTTGATCATTGATCTCCGGCCTAAGGTGTTCTGGTACCAGGTACACTTATGAGCCACCTTATGTTCGAACATAGTGTTCGTTATGGCCAAACCATGGCAAGCACAGAAGTCCAATAACGAAACACCATTCGGGTTCAGATCGGGCAAGCCGTTCCTCCCAATCACCCCCCACCAGGTTTCTCCGTCATCGCCCACGTGAGCGTTGAAGTCCCCCAGGAGAACTATGGAGTCGGTAGGCGGCGCCCTTTCCAGGACCCCTCCCACCGACTCCAAGAAGGCCGGATACTCTGAACTGCTGTTTGGTGCATAAGCACAAACCACAGTCAGAGCCTTGCTCCCCGCAACCCGAAGGCGCATGGAGGCGACCCTCTCGCTCTCCGGGGAGAACTCCAACACAGCGGCGCTCAGCCGGGGGCTCGTGAGTATCCCCACTCCCGCCCGGCGCCTCTCACCCTGGGCAACTCCGGAAAAGGACAAAGTCCAACCCCTCTCCAGGAGCTTGGTTCCAGAGCCAACGCTGTGTGTGGAGGTGAGTCCAACTATCTCTAGCTGGTATCGCTCCACCTCCTGCACCAGCTCCGGCTCTTTCCCCGCTAGCGAGGTGACGTTCCACGTCCCTAGAGCTAGTCTATGCCGCCGGCGATCGGCATGCCTGGGCCTCCCGCCCGACCCGCCGCCCGGTCTGCATAGCACCCGACCCCGATGCTTGTCCCTGCGGGTGGTGGGTCCACAGGGTGGCTGCTCCATGGTGTTTATTCGGGCTGAGCCCGACCGGGCCCCATGGGCAAAGGCCCGGCCACCAGACGCTCGCCTACGAGCTCCCCTCCTGGGTCTGGCTCCGGGAGGGTGCCCCGGTTTCCCTGGTCCGGGCGAGGTGGCTGTAGTCCGTGGGCTAACTATCATAGGGGTTGTTTTGAACCGCTCTTAGTCTGGGCTCTCCCCTGAAACCTGTTTGCCTTGGGAGACCCTACCAGGGGCTAATGCCCCGGACAACATAGCTCCCAGGATCACTGAGCCACTCAAACTCCTCCACCACGATAAGGTGGCGATTCACGTAGGAGGAGTTTTGTGTTGTGATGTTCAGATCTTAGTGTGGGCAGAAAGGAAATGCCAGACGATACAAATGTTACTAAAATGATTTAAGAATCAACTCCCCCGTCTGTCCCCTCCTACCTCTCCTGTCCTCTCATCCTTCCCCTCTTAAACCTCTTCCCCCGTCCTCCTTTTCACGTTCAGCTCCTCCCTGCAGCCGCCCGTGTTGCTGTTGTTGTCCTTCTGTCTGCCAGTGTGTGGGAGAGCTAAACCAATTCCAGCCCAGATTACAGTAATAAAATCACTGAGGCTGGGGATTAAGGTTTAGGCCTCTAAACACACTGATAGTAGAGAGAGGGGGGGTGGAGGAGAGAGAGAGAGAGAGAGAGAGAGAGAGAGCAGGTGACCGAGAGAACAGGAGAGGCGATGCACAGTTAGTGGGATTTCCTGACCACAACGGAGGGATTAGGATTTAGAGAAGTTAGTAACGCAAGTGTCTGCGCACACAAATCCATGACATCCTCTGAACAGAGTGAATAAGAGCTAAAAGGCGCTGACACAAACGTAGATAACGGTTACTGGGTTCACATAATTTAAAAAAGCAGAGCATTGGCGAAATTACGGTATGTACAATGAGGTATATAGGTCTTATAGATCTTAATTCAACATTTAACTTGTTTAATTTATGTTACGTTTTTTGATGCATCACTCCCACTCCTCTGGTCCATGTGTACTGTGATTTTTTTTTTACTAAACATAACCAAGTAATTTTGGTGTTTTTTTTTTTTTTTTTTGTTTTGTTCCAATTTACGTTAATCGCGTTTAAAACTGACTGTAATTCAGGAGAAATGATGTTTCCCTCGGCACTTCAATTGAATGCATTATAGTTGTATGAGAAGGTAATATTGTAGGAGATGGGATTGAATATTCAAATGGAGAACACACTTGGGTCAGTCTTTCCTTCTAAGGCATTAACAATGTTGCACTTATCAATACACACAAATAGTGACGGGTTGTTGTGTGCAGGATTTAAAAAATGAGAGATCAAACCCTGCTTAATTACTCACCTCCACACATCTGGCCAATCATTGCGTGAAATGGGCGCACCTGTTGAATTTTCGTTTCACAAAGTTACAAAAAATTGTTTGGGACAGTAGCCCCTTTCTTCTGATTTAGTAAAAGAAAGGGAGGGTGGGGGGTGATGGAGGACTCATCTACAGCAGAAAATCAAAAGGTACATTTGCAGTTTTTAAAACTGCATTAACTCATTTTTTTAAGCCGCTTTGAGACAAACAGCAATAAGATAACATTTACATTTTTTCAGCTTTTAAGTCAATATAATAACACTCTAAATAGCACAATTAATAAAAAATATTCATATGGCAAAACATGCTAGCAAACGGTTACTCATTTATACACGATAGACGAAAGTTATCATTCATTTGAAGTCTTCAGTTGGTGGACCCCAAAAAAGAGCTAAATCCTTGGAGCTCTGTTTTTGGTCTCCACCAACTACTGAGGGAAATATCTAGCTCTGAAGCAGCTAAATGCTAAGCTAGCGAGCTAGCAACCAACTCTGTTCCTGTGCCATGTGGTGCTGATCGGGTACTGGACAATAAGTTTACCAGGGCGCTCTGCTGGAAAAGCTGCCTGTTGCTGATGGCAGTGATGAGTGAGAACCAAAACAGTACAGCTGTGGGTCGTAAAACCAAGATGAGAAGAAAAAAACGCTGTATCGCTCTGTAACTAAATGTTACTAAATGAACTAACATTGCTAAATGTTAGTTATTTTCCATTTAGGCAGTGTTGTCCAGCAGCGCGCTGTATTTGCTGACCATCTGGTTTGTCTGAACAATGAGTGACATTTCCAAGCAACCAATAAGGAAGCTCCTCTGGCTGGTCAATAATTGTGCCTTGGAATTGTGCACCTGAGGATCAAAATGACTGAACCACCAACCGGACTTTGTGCAAAAAAAATAATGAAAGTAACACAAACGGTGATTTCCATCCACTGGTCAAAGGGGAACCTCATTGGGTTACTATAGTTCTGGCCCCTATGACATCATCATCCATGATCCAAAAGTGATTCTTCTCCAAACAGACTTTATTAATAACAAGCCTGACAACAGCTTCACATATAGCTAGAAACGTCCTCCTTTATTGACATAAAGTACCAGTAAGTTTCTCTCACACACACTCACGACTGACGTGTTTCTGACGATTACGCACTATACGTGCCCCCCTACGTCAGAAGCACACCCAAAAAAACCTTCTCCTTAGTTATTTATAAAATCTTTTCTTGTCCCGGAGTTAAAATAAAAAAGGGGGTCGCAGAAGAAAAAAAAAAGGGGGGGGACGAGAGGAAGGCAGCCTCATTCTCATCCATCTCTCCCTCTCCTCTATTATTCATCAGCCTACTCTCATCCCTTGCTCAACATGCTGATGGAGGATAAAATAGGTCAGAGGGAGAGGATGGTGCTCGCAATGGTGACTGATGTCTTTCCTGACACGACGCGCACTCGTCCCCTCCTCCTTTTCCCAGCCTTCCCTCTCTTCCCCTCTCCCCTCTTCTGCCGTCGCCCCATCTTCTTCACTCTCTCTCTCTCTCTACCTCCTCCCCTCACATCCCCCTCTCATCACTTGAAGATCCCTGAACGCTGTCGTTCCTCCGCCGCTCAGCTCACCTGCCTCTCTCTTCCTGCCCCCCCCCCCTCCCATGAGTACAACTCAAGACAAACGGCATGTGTTGCTGGCAGCCATCAGCAGGGGGGGGGCACATCAAACCATGATATCATCATTATGAATCAGTTATAGGGAACTTGACAGCTTGGCCCGAATGATGGAAAAGAGGACCAGTTTAAAGCGTCACAGTTAAATCAGAGGGAACTACAGAAATGCCAGGTCATGGTTTGATTTTCAGCTTTGGGCTACTTTTCCATATACTTTCTGCTCAAACCTCCAATAAACCTTCCAATTTCAGGTGGGGCTTTATTCACAACACACTGCAGGTGTAAAAGTGAAATGACATCGCCTCTCTGTGTTGATTTGTTTAGCTCTAACACACTTTGATTTGCTCGCACATCCACTCAATATTTGCAAGTTGCTGAAGCAGTTGTTCTTAAGCGCTCGCCCTGCTGCTTAAGCGCTCACCCTGCTGTGACTGACTGCACTGACAAAGACGTCCACCAGATGGCGGCAAACCCAATCTAGAAATACATATGCACATGGTACATTATACATATTGGATTATTTTCAAACATATTTGGGAAATGTATCATATTTTCAGTTGCGTCTTCACTTTGAATTAACTCTTGTAGAAGGAAACATAACTTTTGGTACATGGGAACAAAGTTATTACCACTGGGCCTTGAAGCTGCACTAGTCAATATTATCATATTATTGATGATCAAATGAGTAACCGTGCAACAAACCTAAAGAGAGTTAAAACCCAACCGTGCAGTTCATCAACTGCAGCCAAAGTTAGCAGCTAGCTGGTGGACATACAGACCGAGCTAACAGCAGAGTGAATACTGGACTTACATTCGTCAAGCGGCTGGAAACACGAGTCCAAATGAATGCTGATGTTGCTCTGTATCTGCAGGGTGTGTGAACAGGCGGCTGTTTGCCAACACACTCACAATATTAACTTTACACAATGATATCTCAACGTTGTGTTTGGGGCCTGTTGTGCTGCCACCAAGTGGACAAAAAAGAAAGCAGGTTTGCATCTCGACGAGCCGCAGCTTGTAGCTGGTTCGTTACACGGCTCTCTGCACTTCTGTGACATCACCGATTGGATCGTAAACAGCAACCCCTCTTATTTTAAGAGTGGGTGGATGGGGTCTGTGGATGGGGGCAGCAGCAAAACCTATTTAAAAAAAATAAAATAAAAAATCTATCAATTTAAGTGTGCACTATTTTTAGAATATTTTCAGCGCTTTACTTTGCCAGCAGGGAATTGAAGCCATTATATCAATCTGTGTTCCCTTCAAAGCCGCAAGACTCCATTAACAAAAACAGTATTTTTACCTCGCAAGACACTTGCTGGTCTATGGCCGTGACCTGCGAGGTAAGAGTTACTGGGTTTTTATTACTAAAGGGAGCACAGAACTTGGAGAGGACTGTCTGACGGCAAGCTAAAGCAGTTAAACTCTAAATCTAGCGTACACTACAGCTGAAACTGCTTTCTTTAGTTGGTGCACAGCAATGCATGCTTTGCTCCCGTGCTGGTCCTCCTGTCGGTTTCTCCAGACTGGGGCAGTGCTGACTACCATCTTCTGAAGGTAAAACACGGACTATGGATAAGTGCCACATAAAACCCAACTTTAAAAAAAGAGTATGAACTATCCCTTTAATGTTGAAAATCATCTAATATAAGTTATGAGTTATTTTATTCAAAATGAATGAAACCACAATCTTCGATCTAATGTAACGATAAATTCATAAACAGAAAACAGTCCATGTGTTAACATTTTATTTGATCAGTGGGAGAAAACTAAATGTTGTTTTCAGTTAACGTCATTAAAAAAAAATCAATTTGCATTACTGAATATTTGCAGCACAAAGGACATGTTTTAAAAAAGGTAATTTTAAGACACTATTTTACACACACAGTCACACACACACACACACACACACTTTGGAGTATCCCACTATTGGTCTTCAAAGAAGACTTTGGCCATGGCGAGGGCAACCTTGACGACCTTCTTGTCCTTGGCGTCGGGGCCCATGTTGACCCGTGCCAGTCCGATCCAGTACTGCTCCGTGCGGGTCTGGTAGTCCGTCACCGTCTCTCCCTCCTGCACTGCGGGGTGCTGCTCTTCATCTGCAAACACACACGTTTAGAGAGGTTAAATAAGTTGGTCCTGGTTACATTTACTTGAGAACAGCTTGTAGCTGGTTTCTTGCCAAATCAAACATCTTTAAAAAAGGAGCCAATCTGCTCCAAATCTCCCAATATACAACTCTCATTAAGACACTACAAGTACTACTGTGTGTACTAATGTGTTTTCTGGTTCGGGAGGAGCTTCGTCAAATCTGAGAAAAATAATCCATTAATGAGGAATATTGCACCCACAAGATGACCATTTGTTTAAATATTGGTAAATACGGTAAACTAAGATGGTTTACGTTATACGCACAACATCAGCATGTTGGTGTTGTGATTGTGTTGGTATTATATATTTGCATTTAGCATCACTGCATTTTCATTTGCAATGAGCTGATAACAGCCAATATACTGATGTGGCCCATTAAGACTGAAGATGTTGGTTTCTATTGAAATCTACATTCAGCATCTAGAGTCGCCCATTGACATCATACCAGCTTTCATATAGGAGATGCTTTCTCGTGTGTTTATGAGGTTAGTTTACCTTATATAAGGTATTTTATTATTATATTATACCTTAAATATCAAGCATCCTGATCTGCATACTGTACTTGTTGCTCGTTATAAATAGCATGAAGGGAAAAATAAAGAAAGATAATTATAAGACAGTGAAAGAGAGGAATAATCCCATGCCATCCTCATCCTCCTCTTCGGACTCCTCCTCCTCCTCCTCTTCTGCTGCTGCTGCTGCTCCTTTTGCCTCCTTCTCCTCTTCTGCTCCTTTTGCCTCCTCCTCCTCCTCTTCATCTTCTTCTTCTTCTTCTGACTCAGACTCCTCCAGCCACTCCTGTGTCTCTGTGGAGAAAACAAAAAAACATCATAAATCTAAATGAAAGCTCACAGAGTTCCCTGCCATCGTATCATCCTCCAGCTCTATATATTCAAACGAGACAAATCAGCACACTGGCTGCTTTATATTTCATATTTTTTGTAATCTACGTGTGTTATTTCACTCACTTGGGTCCATTTCCACCAGAACCTCCCACTGGTCCATCTTGTTGAGGTCCAGAGAGTAGAAGTCGTTCAGGGTGAACTGGCGGTCGCCGACCTCGAACATCCCTCCGTACAGGAAGAGCTTGCCCTGACGCACAGTTGCCATGGCGCTGGACCTCGCGCAGGGCTCCACCAGGGGGGCCGAGGCTGAAAAAACAAAACAAAGCCCGTGATTGTCCAACCTATCGATATTTTCTCACATCTTAAATGTGTTTAGTGTGCGAGTGTAATCTTGCCATCGCCCTCCTCCTCCTCTTCTTCCTCTTCATCATCCTCGTCCTCCTGAGCTCCAGGGATCACTTCCTTGATGGTCATCACTGTGCCGTCCTCGGTGACAATCTCCTTGATGACCTCAGTGGGTCCTTGCGGTGCCCCCTCCTCCTCCTCCTTCCCGTCTGCTCCCTCCCCCTCTGCTCCACCCTTCTTCCCCCGTCTCCGTTTCTTCTTCTCCGACTTGTTTCCCTGGAAACAAAAGGATAAACAAGTGGAAGCATCGACACCCTGCAGTTGACCGGCAGCTCCCTTGAGAGGGGATGGTTCCAATCAGTAGTGAGGACTTTGATGGAAATGATTAATCCATTTAAAAAAAGTGGTCGGCTATTCCTATTTGTGCGGATCCAGGCCGCGGGCCTCTCATTCATTTGAATGAGGCCGGTCCAGCAGCGCAACGGGGATGCCACCGGAGGAGGCTCCATCATCCGGCAAAAAAGAGTTTCAACGCAACATCATACGGTAATGCCCCGTGTTGGCCGATCACGTACATGCACGAGCACATTCCTAGTAGATTACTCGGTAACATTTCTACTGTTAACCTTGTAATCGGTGCAACGAAATGTCACCGGTTTGAAGCTTTTAAAGAGCGTTTTAAAGTCCAAAAGTATATTTTTTTTAAAGTTGATGTGATCATTTGAATTTTTATCTAACGAAATATAGATTAAATATTGTATATCATATCCTTTCATCCAAACACTGATCTAGCGGCTCCTTGTGTCTTACCCTGAGCAGTCCAGGGAACCAGCGGCTCTTCACCGTGTCATACAGGTAGAGGTCGTTGTAGAAGTCGCCCTCCAGCGTCTCCTCCTCTTCCTCGTCGCAAACCCCGCCGAACAGCACCGCCCGCCCCGCCGGGCCCGCCGACCCCGAGAAACCAGAGCGGGGAGTGGGCTTGTTCCCAGAGGGGCTCACCCTGGACCACGACCACTTCTCTGCAGGAAGGGGGACGGGGGGAAATCAGTGGAAGATCAGCAAACAAGCAAAGAAGCTGAATGATTTTGATTATTTCGGGACCTTAAGTGTTTGTGTACCTTGGCCTTCTTTACCCTCTCGCTTGAGAAGGAACATGTCGGAGTGGATGGTCCCCTTCTCTACGTCCTTCTTGACTCGCTAAATAAAAACGCACACAATCAGGCAGATCACAAAACGTAATGCATTATCAATACGGAGGAGAGCCACACACACACACACACTCACACTCACCACTTTGGAGTATCCCCCGTAGATGACGACGCCCATGCCGTCGGGCGTGGAGGTCATCTGAGAGGCAGAGCGTGGGGAGGGGAAGGAGCCTGATGGAGCGAGGCGTGACCAGGAGAAGGTGTCCAGGGAGAAGGAGTAGACGTCGTTGTAGTAGATAAAATCCCTGCAGGCGGAGGAGAGGAACGGGCTGAAACTAAATCACAACTTTGAGACATTTAAGAGCTCGAGGACTGTCGACTTTATCGCAGATTGCGAAGAGATTGCTGATTAGATGTCGGTCTCTAACTCAAAATAAAAATTTTTATCTCAACCAAAATGGAAATTAAATGGATTCTCTGGCTGTTAACATAAATTGCACTTAAATAAATAAGAATCTTTTGTTAGAAGGGGATATAGAGTCATTTATTCCTTCATAGAGAACTTCCTGCCAATCACTTTCAGTTTGTTTACAAAAACACATTCGATGAGATAGAAGCAGCAACAACACGCCGCTCTCATTCAGCTCAAACCCAAAATGTCCCAACGTCAGAGCTGTGAGAGACAAGCCGATAACATAAAAATATTGAGCTCATGTCCAGATATGATATGATAAGTTGAGAATTCAATGCTCATTCACAGAATGATGTAACTTATTACATGTGATGTGTTTACCAGAAGAGATAAAACTGATCTCTGTGAGTTTGTTTGTTTGTAGAATGAACAGGGTTTACAATAAGCCGTCTCCACTCTCCCATTAACGGGTGTGAAGGAAGTAATGGAACACATTACCCGTCCTCTCCATTACAGACACTGTCCTCGTTTGATCACTCAGTAACGTTCCGCCTACCTGTTGCTCTCGTGGAAACCTCCAAACACCAGCAGCTGTTTCTTGCTGAGGACCATGCGGTGGCCGCTGCGACCCGGTGGACCACCAGGCACCCTGGGGAGAAAGAAACAAAGAAAAAAAAAAAAAAAAAAAACTGAAATCACTTCGGATCGCTGATGCCTGCCTGCAAAGTGAAACACCCACAACACCGTGTGGGACTTTTTAAATTGAGCTGTTAACTTGTTTTTTTATTACCTAAGCAATCAACTCATCGATCCACTGATAAGACTCGCATTACAGGATGGAATGAACTCATTACGATGAAATAGTATTGCTGGTCACCCTCAGATCCCTGTTTAAACGTTCATTCTGCCGATCATTACTCCCATTTACGACGCCCCCCCCCGTTCATCCTCACGTCTTGTTTGTACGGCCCTCTGCACTCACTTGATGTTCTCCCACGTGTGCGTGGCCAGGTGCAGCACCCAGAGGTCCTTGTAGTGGTAGAACTGCTCCCCGTTTGGAGAGGCGAACTCTCCCCCAAACACCCAGAGCTGACCCCCACCCTGGGGAACTACCACCGCCTGAGGGAAGGAGGGAGAAAAGGAGGGGAAGGAGAGGGGTGCATGAACAGAGCGAGATAAAGAGGTTTGATGTCCTCAGATTGAATTAGTTGTCTTGCAACATAATAGCCGTGATGACGTTGCCGATAAGTTTCCTCAACTGCCGTCTGCCCTCTTGTGGTTTAATCGGAGAATCACATCAAATAAAGGACTTCAAATAGTGTTGCGGTGGATTAAGCAGCACTACAAGGGTCTATCAAATTTAGCTGCATATCTGTCATTTGATTTATATCAGTCAACACGCCTCTGCTCATGTGGAAGTAACTAAAACTGTTGCTGAGAATCAGATCAGACACAACAAAGCTGAGAGCTCACACAGGCAGAGGGACAGACAGCGAGCAGCACAGGAGGATCTGGGATCCTCGTACCTGGTGAGAGCAGCGAGGCGGAGGAGGGTTGGGGATGTCTGATTTCACCCAGCTGTTCTTCTTGATGCTGTAGAAAAACAGATCGTTGTACAGGTACGTCTGCAAAAAAAAAAAAAAAAGCGGGTTTTAGATGAGGATTTATTAATAATGTTGGCAAAAATCAAAGCATGTGAGCTTCCTGCTCATTCAGTCATTAAAGAGGATTTTCCGCTACCTTCTTTCCGTTGAAGAATTCTCCTCCAAACAGGATGAGTTCATCTTTCTCCGGATGGCCAGAGAGAGACGCACTCAATCTGAAAAAACACAAAAAGACATCAGAAACCTGAAGGGCTCGGTTTAAAACGGAGTCAGCTCAGTTGGCCCGGCGTCGGTGAGATTGGTTTGTGGGGTGAAAGAGGCCAATGGAACCAACCACAAGATTTTGTGACAGCAGCTGTGTGATTTTAGCCTTTAAACTACAAAGAAATTTGGTCTGGAACAAATTAATAATAATAATTAAAGGCTACAAGTCAATCAGTGTGCTCCAGTTCCTTCGTCCCTCTGGATGGTAAACATAACTGCTAAACATCAGCAGTTTAGCATAACAACACCACCGCAATCAGTATAGCAGACCTGCAGCAACAGCAACCTCCTTTTAAAGCTCAACTAGATTGGGCGGTGTGGAAAACTCATGAAACTCTTCAACAACTCTGTGGTAGTCAGTTATCACACTTCCCATTATTACTTGGTTTGGTTGGCACATGGGTTCACCGCCAATGTTCCCAGGGCGTGCGTGTGTGTGTGTGTATCGCTTGATATAAACTAACACAGTACTAAGTAAAAATAAAAAAATTAAAATAGGTCATCATGTAATTTTCAAAACATATTGAAAACCTTCCAAAATAACATACATACTGCTTTTTCTCAAGTACTTAGGAAAACGCAGTATGAATGGTAAGAATATGTTCAGCCAATGTGGAAATAGACGTCAACGGTCGAGACTGTACATGCGCGACAAGTTGTCCTGATGGGGACACAGTGAAGTTGAACTTGAAGGTGAGCGGTGCAGTCCTTCACCTCGCTGATGGAGGTGGACATGTTGTCTCTACTACTATGGTCTTCTTTGAATCCAGATTCTGAAACTCAGCAATCAGAGCCTCCAAATCCTCCTGGAGACAGAGAAGGATGAAAAGTAATGAGAACAAAACCGGACAGACGTAAACAAAAGATATTAGAGATATGTTGTGGGTCCTAGTAATATTGCTAGTCCTAATAACAAACAGTTGTGTTACCTGCCACTGATTTAGACTGTAGTTAGCATTTGTGGTAAACTATGCAGTTAGTTAGCAGACCTGAGCTAACGCTAGCTAACGTCATTTTCACAATATATTAGCATTATCATTTGTACAAAGCTATTGGCGCAGCGTCTTTGATTCCTATAAAGAGTACACATATGAACGTAGTGTTAATAGTTCAGCCCATTTTAACATTAACTTTACCTCCTCTCGTTTGGACCTCTTTGAAACTTTCTTCTCCATCTTGGCAGCTGTCTTCTCCGCTCCCTTCACCTTCTTTTCTTTCTTGCTTTTTTTGCCCATGACTGTCGTGGTGCACTGATGTTATATTTCGGGGGGTTGTATCTCTTGTTTTCAATGAGGTCGGTGTCACGTGGAAATCCAAACAAACTCGCATGCCGAGCGCCGATGCCTTTCCTCTGGCAAGTGACTTTCACTTCCTGCAACAGACTTAAACTCAGTGTGGACGTGTAACAGCGCCCTCTAGTGTGGCGGAGGACACTGGTGGCCTCAGCAAAAAAACACTCAAAAGTACCCTTTGAATGCTCAAAATGGGCAAAATGTATACATATGTATGGTGTAAAAAAAGAATAAAATAATAAAGTGACCGCTATGGTGCCCTTTCAGTAGAGAAAACGTAATGAAGTGACTGCTATGGTGTCTTTCCTGTAGAGAAAATAATTTGCCATTGTTGAGCGTCTGAGCCTGCAATATAGTGACTGGCTAAGTAATTAAATACTCTTCAATGTCAGTGGGTGGCAGTATGTCGCGCAATGATGACCTTGTTAATTTAAGACAGTATAATTAAATGATGGGAGAGGTTGCAGTGACAAGACGAACAGCGATGGAGAAATATTTTAAAATGAAAAATGCAGACTCTGAAGTGGGCCCTGGACAACAAAACTAAAACCAGAGAGAGAGACAGTTCTTGAGGAAGAGCTTCGTGTGCCTTTCTTCAGTTTCTGCTAGGATATCAGCTTTGTGTTCATCTAAACAGGCCCAGGTTTCACACCGAGTAAGGATCCACAAATTGAGAGACTTGCCATTAAATTGTCAGCATATATGCTGTATTATGCTACAATGTGTCATTTTATAACTTTTTTGTTTTTTTGTGTACTGTGTAAAAATGTACCGCGGCTCAGGAAAGGTTGAAAAACACTGCTGGGGGCTTAAGTAACTGCCATGATGATGATGATGGTGATGATAATGATTAGGATGACAACAATGATTGGCGGTAGCATTTACACACTCCGTGTTACCTCTATCTGCATGTTTGAATACACATGCCCTTTTATCTTCAGTGTGTGGAATGTCAGAGAGAAACCACAAGTGCTATAATAAGCAGGAAAGTATCTTGACACCTTTATATGGCATGTGTTTGTCACTCAAACCCCTCTGGGCAGGCCCTGCAGGCCCACAGCAGCAGTCATCTCTCCTGTAAACTAAAGCTGCAACGTTAAACAATATTAATTCTCAGCTATAATGTGATGCTTTGATGCCGAAAGTCAGGTAATCTCTTTTTCTCAAAGATGGCTTAAACACCCGTGGATGACGGTGCTTATTATAAACAGAAGATAATAGTTGTGTGTTGCTTTGGTCATTCAAAACCTTTACAGTTAAACTTAAACTGCAGCATTACAATAGCACGGCAACTTCCGGGCACATTGTGTTAGTCTCCTTTGATAATGAGAGGTTTAGAAATATTTTAGTGCCTGACACTCAAATAGATAAAATGTCCAATTAAAGCGACGCCTCAATTATTGCCAACGATATCTGGAGGGAGGCTCTCTTTACAGATATATATTGCCAACTGCAGAATTTTAATTTGGCAGTCAAATGATCAAACAACATTGCTTGCTTTACTGTATATTGCTTTCACCATATCAGTGTCTCATCTATGCCTCCCGCTCATTTTGAATGGATCGGCCCTCTCTGGTTAAATGGAGGTCTTATCCTTCATATCTGTTCACGGTTATTAAAAATGGAGGAGACGATGTTTAGAAATGACCTATGAATTCATCAAGGCCAGTCTCTGCTGTCTACTCTTTCCAACCATCTGTCAGCATATTGTGATATTCATTTTCCTTCCCAGCATCTACAAACACTCAAAAGCTCAGACACGCATGTACAAACACATCAATTGACCCCACCCACACCCACACACACACACACACACACAACTGCTAACCTTTGGTGCTTTTCTGAGGCGCAACATGGTATGTACCACTGTGTGTGTGTGTGTGTGTGTGTACAGATCATGTCAAGCAAATAATTGGCATGATGAACTACAAAATCCCATCGTAGCCTATATGTGTGTTCCAAATAAGAAAAGCCCTCTCCTTCCTGGGAGCCAGACACACTAAAACATTTCGTTGGAGTCATGTGGGGATCCATGAGACGGGCCCATGAGCAATGTTGGTTCCCAGATGATAGTTCTAGTGACCAGTCTGCAGACTTACTGATATATGAAGGATGCATTTCCATGCCCTACAGGCAAATATGGGGCACACAAGCCCTTTGATGTATTAAACTGGCGTAGTTATGCAGATCAGCAGACATTGTGAATACAAGCTTCTGATGGTTAAAAATGCCATGCTATAAACAATTTGCTGTCTCTGTGAACGGCGAATATTTGCAACAGATGCAGATGTTGCTTTTACTAATCGCTTACACTAACTATAGAAGGCATGTTATGATTTAAATGCAAGCAAAGAAAATTACTTCACTTGACTTCAGTTTTTGATTTTACTTGACTTGACTAGACTTGACGTAAATCGAGTTGACTTGACTTTAAATTTACTTGACTTGACTCAAATTGAATTGACTTGACATAAGACTTGACTTAAATTGACATGACATGACTTGACATGACTTGACATGACTTCACATGACTTAAATTGACATGACTTCACATGACTTAAATTGACATGACTTCACATGACTTAAATTGACATGACTTCACATTACTTAAATTGACATGACTTCACATTACTTAAATTGACATGACTTCACATTACTTAAATTGACATGACAAGACTTGACAACTTGAATCAGTTTGTTGATTTAATTTGTCGTGACTTGAATTGATTTGGCTGGTTTTGTGGTTCTTCAGCATGACTAGACAGTCGAGTCTTTGAATTGACATGACATGGGTTATCGTCGATTGACGATAATTTAACTTGACAACGCAGTTCAGTGAGCGAAAACATGGACATCTTCTCTGAACAAATGTTGTTTACTCCGATGAAGATGGAAGAACAGATGGCTGGCTTACACCTGTGCCCCTTTGCATCAATACACACACACGCACAAATGCTTTTATGACTCAGCATCCTTGCGTCAATACTGCCCTCAGCACCGTGCCGTTTGCCTGTTAGCCTGAACGTCTGGTCGTGACTGATGCTGAGGGGAGAGAATAAAGGACCGAGATGATGAGATGAGATGAGATGAGCAGAGATGTTAAATACCTGAAAAGAGAAGTTACCCAGGCTGTGATTATCAAGCTTTTGGAAACAGATGCTGTTGCTGCACAAACACGAACAAGAGAGCAGGAATACACACACAATTTGTGTTCTTCGTTTCAGGTCATTATACTAAGGATTCTTACCAATATTATATTCCATTTCTGCCAATAGACCTCCCTAAATGGACACAAGTTGGTCCTTTAATGCATGAAACGTGTTGAGATCTCAGACTAAGCAAGAAAGCTATTAATTGTATTGATGTCTATGTATTGATGGCAGTCTCAGACAGTAAAGTATGAATAGTGCAAATTAGAATAGTAATAGCAAAACAGCTCTGACTATTTTAATTCAAATTATGAAAGTACCATGAAATAATAGAATCTATTTGTGTAGAATATGTACTGACCGTGAAAACACATATGCCTCATAATTTCCCCAAATTTTATAAAAATCAAGTCAGCAGCAAGACAAATACAAACAGAATGTAGAGGTGGTGTGTGTGTGTGTGTGTGTTTTCACGTCTTCATCCTCTGTGGTCCTTTAAACCTCAGAAACAATAGAGAAAGACAAGCACAAGTAAACAGTGGCCGGTTGATCCCAGTGCACCACCCGGTGTGTGTCTGTGTCTTTGTGTGAGCCTCTATGCTCATGTGTACTCGGTATGTCCCAAGGAGCATGTAAACACTGCTACCAGTGTATGTATGTGTGTGTGTGTGTGTGTGTGTGTGTGTGTGTGTGTTAATGTAGGGAAGTGAAAATCAGAGCTCACACCTGTCTGTGTCCCCTGTCGTGAGGATATCGACTGTTTGTTGTTCTGGTCGTCAGGTTTCCTCTCACACAGCCTTTATCTGCAGCATCACGGTGTGGGAAAAAGAAGAAATAGTTGAAGTTACCATGCATGATGAACATTGAACTCGTTATGAAACATTGTTAATAAAATACTGATGCCTCTATTTGACCTTCATAAGTAAGAAAAATGTCTTTGTAGTTATTCTTAATGCCTGTTATCGATGCCAACTGGTTGGATTCCAGGCAAAATCAGACCTTCAGATCCAGATCTGCTGCCGCTGCCGACCTGCAGTTGGAGCTCCGGCAGGAGGTGGAGTGCTCTGCGCCCAGCAACAGCGTCTCCTCCTCTGACCAGGTGCAGAGCGTCACCTCGCTGCTGTGTCGGTCCCCGCTGGAAGCCGACACCGACACCACGCTGTATTGCTGGGCCCACTAGAGAGAAAGGAGGCATGGGAGAACCAGAACCAGGACTAAGCGGGCCACACTGTCACACCCCGCTGTCATAAAATTAGAGGTTTTCTAAGAGGGCTCTGGTGCCTTAGAAACACTACCGCTTTTGTCCACAGGGACGGCCAAAATCAACACAATATGAAAGTTATCCACTAAACCTGACACAATCAGCAAACATTTATTTTGTTATTTTGTGAACAAGCTACATGTCATAGTACAACAGTAAAACAAAAATAGTAATATAAAATAGTATAAAACACATCTCTATCTTGTGTGTGTCCACCCTTTCTTTCTGTTAAATCAATGTGCTAAAATATGCTCAGTAAAAACATTGAGTCATGTTTTTTTTTTTTAAACATTACTTATTATTATCGTGTATATTGTGAGAAACATTTGTGGATCGCAGGGAACTCTTCTCCCTTCAAAAACGACTTGTCATCACAAAAAACATAGAGATCGTTTAGGCAGCTTTGAACAAGTCCCTCTAGAGACCACATCTCGATTCAGTCTGACCGTTGTAGCAAGTTTGTAATGTTTTACAAAAGTAAAAAGTATAAAGCAGTGGGTCAACAGTCCTGCAGCATATGTTGGCCTTCGTCTAATTCACAACTAGACCGACTGTTGGGTTGTGCAGCAGAGGTTTCATTAATCGACTCACCCTGAAGAAGAGGCCAGTCTTCACAGCATCGGTGACCCCGCTGGCAGTTTTTTCTATGTTTATAGTAAGCACATGATGCTCACATGCAACTAAAAAAAAAATGTTCCTCGAAAAGGGCATTGCCCACCGCAGCACCAAAAGCCTTTAGACCTCACGGTCTTATCTAAACCTCTTATCTAAACCTCTTATCTAAACGTGCGGTTAGCTTGGTGTGAATGATCCGGGCGGCCTGACTTTAAACACAGCGGTCTCAGCATACATACATCTTGATCTGCTGTGACTCAGTGAGGAATGTCTTAACATCGGTGAGCTGTCAGGAGTTCATTCGTTTGTACGCTGCGGAGCTTTGGCTCGCGCCCGCTCACTCTCACCTGCCAGAAACACACCTTAAAGTTCTTTGCACAAAAAGAAAAAACAGTAGAGCGGGACGGACAGAGTGTGTGATCGCTGGGGTGATAATCATGATTGTAAGTCCTGGTTTGGAATAGAAAACAAACGTCTGATGGTTTCTATCAGACGTGCCAAACCAGACAACCGTCAGTCACACGTGGTCTAGTGTGTATCACAGTTCAACATCAGCTGAGCTGGAGTTTAAGGGCTCAGATACGTAACAAAGGTATGGAAAGCAACCACCACTTTGTAAGATGTTTTGAACTACTGGACAAGGGACATCACAGGATCAATTGTAAAAGATCCCCACAGCTAAGGATGTCCTGGAAACATCTGCAGGACATGTTCATTCAACTTCCTCAGCATGTTTTCTTTGTAATGAAAGGGAACGCATTCCTCTTTGTTACACCCATCAAAGAACCAATACAACAGCAGGCCTGTGTCAACAGATTCAACTCAATCCAAGATTGGTTGAGAAAAACAAAGAGATGAATTTGTCTGGCATTCTCTCAGAATGTGTTGATTAAAAAAAAAGAAGAGGAATCCTGATGTTGATATCCACGTTTTATCTCCTATTAACAAAGACTGTATAACAGACAATGTAAGTTAAATAATCCAATAACGACTCAAGCCTGGACCCATGAAAAGAAATCCAGTTAATTCCTAAATAATGAGTGTTGCATTGTAGCCAGTCAAACAAAGCACCCACACACACATGGAGCAGGTGTTCCTCCAACAACTCACACGTGCATCTCTTCGGAGGGGAACCCTGTCTGCTGGCTCTCCGCCCTGAGAAAAGAGGAACTTCAGGCCTCTCTGTGAAATGTTGCAGCAACCTGCAGAAGCCTCCACTACATTGCAATTTCCTAAAACACTCTTTCAGAGTAAGATTGTGGCTGTTATGTAGTCTCAAATGTTTGCGCTGGAGTCCCAAGTCAAGTGTCAAGTCCCTTACGTTGGGTCATAATGCGCTCCTCACCAAATGTAATGCCACTTTAACATCAGAGTAGTTATATAGTAAATTAGCAAAAATCATGAATGCCTGATAAAATTGGAAGGAGACATACGTTTCTAAAATGTTACATTTCTACATAAGAACCTGTGGAGCTAACATTAGCAGAGCACCATAGCACGTCATTAACTAGCGCTTGCACTTCTAAGTTACACTCGAGGTATACTGAATGTATACACATGCTGCTATTGCGTTTAATGATTGTAACAGTGAATAAAGACCTACCCGGCTATACAGGAACAGTGTTGTTCCTTACGTTTATTGTCTTCTGTCTCGATCGCCAGGTGATGTGGTGGTTCACTTTAGCTTCTACTTTATCTTTTTAACCTGTTGTCTCTGCTGAATAAGTTTGACATCCTTCATATATCTTTCAAACACATATTGTAGACTCTCGCTAAAAAAAAAAAACACTAATTTCTTTACCCAGATAATACTTCTTCAGGCAGTGCAGTTAGTGACTGTGGGCTCCATAGTAACATAGCTCTGACAGCTTGACTGATTAGCAGAGGGGGTGCAGGGCTTAGCGAAGGGTCAATAGTAATCTCCAGCATCGCTACTAAATGGCCGAATAGAAAGAACGGATCACAAACAGTGATGCTGAAACTGTTGTCTTTGTCCAAATACAAGTTAAAAAACCTTAGTTAGTCTATGATGAAGTTGCGTCTTTGTGTTGTTCGAGGTTCAGCCTTCCTGTCCTCATAGCTCTTTAGCCCGAGCGAGCCCCATTTGGGGTTCGAGTACCGGTACCGAGGTTCCGAATGGACTTTTCATCAAATAATATGAAAAATGGTCCAGACATGTAAAATATCGAAAAAAATAAATAAAGTCCGAGCAAAATCATCATGCAAGCCATTTTACGCAATTATACACAGTATACACAAACTAATTCAATACACTAGAAGATTTATCACAATATCAGGATTTTTCTGCAAAAAATCCGTCAACTATGCAGCAGAAATTCATATTTTATCACCAAGCGAAAATGGCCGAAGGATACATGAATTCGCACGAGGGCTCGATACGGCGTCGACCCAGCGTGTCCAAATAGACCTCCGACAAAGCATTCAAAGGTCACAGGAGAAACCAAGAAACCGCACACTGCTCTCGAGAAATAAAATTGAAAATCTACATACCTTTTGGCGATTTTCGTCCGGAAAAAAATAGTTATTCTATTGAAAGTTGCTGCAGTGCTGTGCTCCGTTTCCTGGTCTCTCTGCCTGCATTGAAATGAACGTGCTGTGACCTGGCATGCGAAAATGGCCCGCATTCTTCGCCTGGACCAACCTATTTTTCGCATGGGGGTCGAGCCCACCTTATCAAGATTTTTACTGACCCTCAGCATTCCAAACAACACCCCTGACGGCTTTCAATGGACTATTCCGGACCTAACGACGTGTCATATAACTAAATCCGCCAATCACAGGCCTTACAAATCCCACATACACACTGAGTCAGAGCAGGTTTTTTTCATGAATGACACATATGACATCTGGAAATAACTGAACATGGCTGAAAATTATTGCAAACTGCTTTATTATGATGTATTGAACACTCTTAGTGATAAAGCAAGTGAATATATAGTTAATATGTAGTTATATAGTATGTAAAATTAGAATAGAGCAGCGCAAAATCTGGTTCCAAAAATGAAAATTTGGCTTGAAATTCTGTACTCAGACCTCATTTATGCTGGCTTGCTAAGTAAAATTAGCTTGGACAGACCAGATACCTGTTGTGCTATGACTGTGGAGTGATTTTAGGGTTCAATCAGCATTATTTAAAAGAAAATGTTCAATAAAAGTGCTTTTTTTTCAGGCGAACCTGGAACTTTTCAATTTGAGCTGTGCCATATGTGTATATGTTATTAACCAGTAACATATACACAATATTTACACATATCAGCACATCTCACAAGTGTTACCTGTATTATATAATTTTAAATTATTAAAATAGACCTTGTAGTTGCAGAAATAGACTCTCTTTGGTATGGGTATGCAATTTTCGAGCAGAGGCCTACAAATAGGGCTAGGGCTACAGAGGTTAACTTTACCATGAGGCTGTAAAACTGACCTAGGATCAGTCACCCGCTTCCAGCCCATGCTCTGAATACTTGAGAGGATTAATTTGTTTGCTTCTATGAACATTCATCAGCTGTGTGTAATGTTTACCTCAGCAACCAGCCTAACAGGGTCCTGCTGATCAATGCCTTAAAAAGGGACTCTAAATGTGGAGTGGGGATTTGGGAATGTATTTACTTTAAAAATATATGAGAGAAAAGCAGAGTGGTTGTATTTTGGTTCTGTCTTGATTTTTATTCTCCGGGATAAAAACATAAAGGACAAAGTTCATCCAAAGAACAAGAGGAAAGAAAGATAAAAGCAGCAGCATTTCAAGCTCTCATCACAGTTTTAGTCCGGTTTGAAAGCGATTGATTTCACAGCATCACTTCAAATGGTAAGTCAACAGTTATTTTTATCTGAAACTACAAAAGCAGCCATTGCACAAGTAAAAAGTTACTTTTACAAGTTTTTAAAAATGATCATGTTGTACTACAAAACTCATAATGGATGCGGAACAAGCAGCGTTTAGGCAGAAACCACAGTGCCATGGGGCTAGAGGAAAATGTCCCTGTCACAATCTGCGCAGTACAAGTTCCAAGGCCTGGCATCACACATCCATTCAGTTACAACCTACAAGTGGGAGCAGAAATGGGATGCAGGAATTTGCGACTGCCTGCGAGTCTTTGATGGATGCTGAAGTACCCGAGCATCAACACTTTGCTACCAGAAAAGGAGGAGTGTGAGAGAAGCATGTGAAGGCAGAGTAAGGCCTTGAAGAAGAACAAAGAGGCACTTAGCAGACACACAGCATAGTGAGGGGGGGGGGGGGGACAATCTAACCCTTGGCTTCCTCGCTCAACAGTTCAAGCACGCATCTTTCCAGCCTGTGCTGTGGCAGCTACAGAGCTGGATTAGAAGCAATTCAACACAGGTACAAAGGTGACATAGTAACAGCTGTATACATAGTGTTACGTCTGCACACTGCAAAAAGAGGGGAAAAAAAACATTGATTTCACAAGAGCCATATATTACAACTACATCGTACTGTTTATGGGTGAAGTCATGTCTGAAACCTCTTCCTTCCTCTTGTTCTCAGCCTACTCCTTTTTACATATTCATTGCGGTAATCGCACTGCAACGTTACACCCTCCAACGGCAAATAGAATAAAAAAAAAAAAAAGACAAACAGTGGCGGACGTTTAGGCGAAGGACAATGAAGCCGTTTCTCCAGAAGCCAGTCAAAGCAAACCGCTGGAGGCACAAATCCAAGGTTGCAGGACTCAAAGTGCCAAATGAGTGACATTGTAGCTCAAGTTAATGTTTCAGTATGACGCGTTATCTTTGGCACAGCTGAAGTTCCATTAAATGGAGAGTAAGCCTCAGAGCAGGCCCCATTATTGCTTCAACTCCCTTTTCCTGTGGTGAAGCTTTTGGCGAAAGCAATTAAGGGTTAAACCGTCACAATGTAGGTCATCTCATCTCTATATTGTGCAGCGTGTGTCTAGACTGTCCACTAAACGTTACACCAGCGGTGACAACAATAAATCCCACAGTGCTCCCACGACGTGTGGAATACCTAATATACAGATTTTTCAGAGTAAAATGTACACTGGATGTACATTTTATTATTAAATATACTGGTGAATCCTTAATGATTTTATTGGATTTGTTAAATCCATAAAGAAGTTGGAGATAAAAATTATTTTTATGCTCAATGTAAGAATCTCGATATTAATATGTCTAACAATGAGTGCCGTCATTGTAATTTCCTACTTACTTAAATAAAGTTCGTAGTATAAAGTATTCACCTCTGTCTGCCTCAAACCTGTATTCTCTTCTGTACACTTGGGGGCAGCACAACTAGCTGTAAGCAAAACACTGACAGAAGTATAAACTGCTTGTGAAGAATTGCCTATTTCAACATAAAGCAGATACAACGCCAGCATTCATGTCGACTCCTGTTTCTGGCCACCTCAATACTACTTTCAGTTCCGTTTTTTTTTGTTCCCGAGGGAAACATCTGGCTTTTGAGCTGAAAAACACTCCACCACGTTCACCAGCTGGTTGCTAACTTTTATCAGTTTTTTTCCCCTCACTTGAAAACAAGCATGAGGTGGACTGAAACGGTACATTTGCGGGACATGAAGCCAAATCAATGAGCTAAAAGATGACACAACACTCTGGAGTTTTCTGTGGGTTGGTCACTGTTGACATTACACATCATTGTTTATATTACAATATTATCGAGAGCAGCTTTAACTAAAAATAAAACCAAAGTCAAAACCATCACCAGGTTGTGTATTCTTTTGGGGTGATTATAATAGTTATTTAGCCCCATTTATCAACAATAAAAAGAGAACAAATGAGACCAAAACAAAAGTGGAAAAAAACCTCATTTATTTTTAAAGCATTTTGCATAAAATGCCCTTTAAACAAATTAGAGGGACTAATAACAATAAACAACCTAAAAATAAATAAATAAACTTTCTACAGTCCTATTCAGGGTTAGTTCACCCATCTGCTCTGTGCGATGGCTGGAGTGTTAGAAACGCCCTACCTCATACATATACACATTAACCCCTCCCGCATCCACCGCCGCCGTCTCTATGGCAATAACTACAGCCGCCGTGCTGTTATACAACGGTGCCATCTCGGCCTGTTGCTAGGAGGGTCGACGTTAATATAACAATACTGACTTTTTAATTTTTATGTAACTGTCGCTGTGTGTTTGGAAAAGTAAAAACAAAAAATTTGAATGAAAAATAAAAAAAACTTCATGCCGTTATCTGACAATGTGTTCCTATTGTACTTCAAAATGCACACCCACATAGAACTAAATGTGACGGGACATTACAGAGGACGTAGATGTTGAACAGTGAAACGTTTACATGTGAAGAGCATCGAGTCTCTCTGTCTGGCGCTCTGTAACGGCTTTATTAGTGTGTAGTCCGAAACATTGTCCCACAGTGTGAAGACGTATTTAATGACGCTCTGCGAGCCGGGCTCAGCGCGCTGAGAGACATTGATCCCCGACTGAGATCGCTGACCCAGAAAGTAAAAACAAACAGGAAAATAGCCCATAAATTGAATTTAGACCCACTTTTCAGTGATGGTCCTCATACAAATTCCCCATACTCGTGTCTTCAGCTCCGTCACACTACTGACCGCATGATGATTTAAAGAGCAATTCAAACTCTAAAACCCAGGAATCCTGCGAAGAGACATCAGTCGACTGGTCGGCACTGCTTTAGAGACGTAACGCAAGCAGGCTTTGAAGAAATACATGGCTGAGCAGAAAAGTTGAACTCCTATCTGTAGTTTTTCCTCCTTTCTCTGGGGGATTCAGTTAGCTGTAAAAAATGACAAAACAAAAAAACATCTCTAACACACCAAGGTCTTCAACCAACTTCACTCTCTTCCTTTAGCAGCATCGTCCGCTTTAAAACCACGCTGGGCGACAAACAACACAGACTCAACAGACAAGACTGAGTGTTCTCGGGCATTTACACCGACCGACCGACCGACCGACCGATCGCGCAAGGCTCTCCACTAAAAGTGCTCAAGGATTGTAACGACTGCGGGACCAAAGGTTTCCAGTGATTCATGAATATCCGATATCTTTTAATGCTAACTTTTTGCTTAAAAAGAAGAAATTGGCTACTAGGAGATTAAAAGTGTATTCTTGCAGGATTAAAAAAAAATATGTAAAAAAGCTTTTTAGATTTGAGAGACACAGCTGTTTGCAGCCTCTGACTCCAGCGACAACTAATGCCCCAGCAGACGGCAACGCCTTCATACATTTGCCACCTACGGCACAACTTGCTAAATACAACATTTTTCAGATGAGGGATGATACTTTACATGAACTTATTCACAACCAACAAAAAAACAGTAAAATAAAAAAAAAAACAGTTAATTGAAATGCATCATAAAAAAAAAACACATTACGACCTACAAAGGATAGTTAGTGACTAAAAAGTGTCCATAAGAAACAAAATATAAGCGGTTGAAGAGCGCTTAGACGTGGTAGCTTCAGTCGCCTGTATGTTTCTGTCTTCATCAGGTCCTTATCAGTACCCTGCAGACTGGGTGTGTGTGTGTGTGTGTGTGTGAGAGAGAGAGAGAG